CCCGGCCGGTCTTGCGTGAGTAGCGGGGCCCGTCTTTCTCGAGCTGAGCGGCCCCTTGGGGTGGGTGAGGGGCGAGTGAGAGAGAGGCCTTGAAGGGCACTGGGGTGGGAGGGAGAAGGCGACCCCTCACCCAGGGTCGGCCCTGGGCCGTGGGACTCCAAGTCCCATCAGGCCTTGCGCGGGGGGGGCGCTTGGGCCTGCGCGTGGTCGCCTCTGCAGTTTCTCTCCAGGAAAAGGAGCGGGAAGGGGGAAGGGAAGGGCAGGATGGGGGACCCCCACCCCCTTTTTGGGACCCCTTCGTCCCCCTATTTAGAAGCGTGAGGGGGGGGAATCTAGTTGGTCCTTTGAGTGGCCTTTGCCCGTAATCTACATTCATTAAAAGGGAGGGGGTGGCTTCGTCCTTACCCCCAATGAACGAGGCAGCTGGAAATAAGGTGAATTTACTGTAGAAAAGGATAACCTTAATTATGAAACAGTCTCTGAATAAAGAAAGGAGACCATTTTTTATTTTAAATGGTTTTTAAAACAAATGCAAAGATACAAATAATAGTGCTTGCTATACACTAAATTCTACCATGTGTACCCCATACCCACGAGACCCCATTGAACAATATTTTTATTACAAGCTTCCAGAAAGGAGACCCTTTAATAGTTTAGTAGAAGAGGACAAGAGAAGACGAGTTGGTTTCCTTCAAGGGGCTACTGTGCTCTGTGAAAAGGGTTGTTTGGAATGTGCTTTTGTATTGGTTTTGTTTACTGCTTCTAATATAATACTTGTTTAAACTTTTTAATATTTGTATGCTTACTGTTTTAGCTTTTAAAGATTTTTTCATTATGTAAGCCACCTTGGGTCCTTTTTAAGGAGAAAGAGAGGATAGAAATGTTTTAAAGAAAGAGAGGATGTGGCATCATCCACGAGGAGCCCCTTCCTCCAGAGTGCTTGGACATGGGTTTGAACTGGCTCCTAGAATGAATGGTGGGAGTTGCTGGTTGAACATCTGTAAGATGGACATCTAGGGGACGTTTAGGCAGGATGTTCTTATTTAAAACCTTAAATCAGCATCTGCTGTATGGGAAGTGCACTGTTTTCTATTACACAGGATAAGTGTGAGTGTTGCTGTTGTGTTTCACAAGGGTAGGGCTGGGGAGATTAACATTCATGGCCTTACTCAGCAACTTGCAGGTGGTAGCTGTGTTACTCTGGTGCAGCAAAAAAACAGATCTGTGGCACCTTGAAAACTACCATAACGCCTGTGAGATCCCGCACTTATTGTTCACAGGGTGCCCTCTGGTTGCCTGCCGGGAACAGGAACAGCACAATATTATGTACTTCAGTAATGTAACTGCTGACAGGTGTGGCCATGTTTTAAATGACCATCCTGATGCTGAATGCAGGCTTTGCACAGCTTCTCTTTCATACATGTCTCTGTATCTTGATTTCCCCCCCAAGAAAGCTGTGAAAGAAGTCAATATTATACCCTAGTTAAGGAAGTACAAAAACCGCATTAGGATTTGCTTTATATACTGTACACATAAAGCACAGGTTTTTTCCTTGCTAGGCAATCTGCCAAGAAGTTGCCAGCAAGCATCTTTATTTCATAGAATGCCTTGCACAGCCTTGATTCTTGCAGTGATCTGATTCTGTTGCAGTCTAATCTTTTGCCTAGCCTGGCTTCTGTAGACGATCGTAGTGATAAATGTGAGGATGTATATTAATAGCCTTCTATTTATTTTTGCGGACACTTGAAACTTGAGCAGTGGCAACATCTATTATTATGGTTATGAAAAAACTGAGGATTTCTGCCCATCTTTGCACATGACTGCTTTATATTTGCATTTTCCCCCACTGATACTAATCACTGACCTATTTTTAATTCTCCATGAGTAGTGGATGGTGCCTGGCTTATTATAGATTTGCTTGTCATCCATTTTATCATTTTAAAAGCTGTATTTAATCTTCTTTCCACCCACCCTTTTCAGATAGTGTGGTCTAACGTTATTATTGCATTTGACAGTTTTATACTTTTTCAAGAAATAGGTACGTCTTTAGCTTCACTGTTGTGTGCTTGCAGGTTGAGTATCTTTTAACGATTACTGGAAAAATAAGAAGTGCAGTGTTACCTGGTTAAATTAATTTTTCAACTCTTTTAATTAACATAGCCATTATGAAGGTTTTCTTTTTCTCTACCTCCTTTTTGAGATAGTTATCAACTTTGGTCACTGTCATTATGTTAGACTGCACAAGGAAGCCATTGAAATCCACAAACACCAGCAGAGCTTCAACAAAAAAGAAGAAAGTTTAAAACTCAACAAAGCTTGGCTCCCAGCACTGAAAAATACAGCCTGCAAAAGGTCAAGGTACCCAGCCGCAACAACTAGCTAACGACACCCATCAATCACAATGACAGATAATCTCTCCTCCTGGTCACAACAATGCACCCACAACAAAAACACACTGATCACCATAATCACCCATCTCCTGAAAAGGACAAAAGCTGATCCCACAGCTGTAAATACTCAACTCCCAAACAAACTGCACCAGAGTGCTACTCCTGTCCTCTGAAGATGCCGGCCACAGAGACTGGCGAAACTTTAGGAAGAACAACCTTCAGAACACGGCCAAAGAGCCCGAAAAACCCACAACAACCAATGTTGAGATAGTTCAGTGAGACCCATTGTTCAGAAAGGAAGCTCTGTCAGTGCTAGCTGGGAGTTTCCTTTCTGAACTGGAAGTTTGAACAGTGCTAGGCCAGAAAACCTTCAGGCTTAGGCGTTTCCCCTGGGGGAGCCACATTTAGTTGTCTGTCAAGTGGAAATCCAAGAATGGAGAAATACAGGATTTGTAGTAAAAAAAAAAAATCTGAATGACACGTCGCTGGTGATGTGTAAACAGTGCGTTTCAAGCTACTCTGCACTTGTGTCCATATAATTCCCAAGGTCTGAATTCACAATTTGTACTCCACCTGGTTTATTATTTAACTTGGAAGTAGAAAACGTTTTTAATAAATGCATACACAGCTGATTCTTTTTAACTCTCTGTGCCAGTGTTGGGTATCTTTGATCAAAAATTATTTCCCCTTTGTTTATTCAGAGGTGAACCTGTGACCTTCTTTTCTTATTGCAGCTCAGTTGAGCTCACCTGCCTCTGTCCAACCAGTATATTTTCATGTGCCTAGTCGAGCAAGGAGCAACTTAAATATTTAATGAGCAGTTTTCTCAAAATGAGAGGATCAAGTAAAAATGAAAATGCTCATGACTGATAGGGAGAAGTAAGGCCTGATTGTGATTTGGGCAGACAAGAGCAGTTTATGTTCATCATGAAAATAAGTGAGGGATGTTTGGTAGCCAAAGGGTAAATGCTCGTTTGATAATTGCTTGAGACAGTTCTTTATTGACACCCAAAAAGTCTGGCTTAACTACCTTATTTGGTAAAAGCACTGTGAAAGTCTAAAGGGTTTTTAACTTATCAGGCAGAAACAGAAGAAAAATAAAAAAGGCAAAAATGTTGTGGCGCCTTAAAGATTAACTGCTATATTTTAATAGTAGTTTTTTAGACAAGCCCACTTCCCCAGACTTGTTTCCATGCCGTTCCCAAAGCCTTAATTCACTACCGTACTTGTACTCTGCAACTCATGTCTCAGGGAATGAACTCATCCACGAAGGCTCACATTGAAAAATATAGCAGTTTTGCTTTTAAGGTGCCCCCATGTTTTTGTCTTTTTAAATTTTTCTTTTGTTTTTGCCTGATATGTTAGCACAGGCTAACATGGCTGCCTCTTCTAAAACTGCAACTGTGGAAGGCACTAACTAGATTCAGCTGAACTTGACTTAAATCCACCCTGATGAGATTTAACTGTAGGCCTAACATGTTGCTGTTTAGATTACTTGACATAAGCCTAGCTGATTATTCATTATTGGAGTGCTTTTAATAGCTATATTTGTCTCCTTTGTCTTTAATAAGGCTTTTTATAGTTTTATGGTTTTTAGCCATGTTAGCTACCTTATTGTTTTGTACAAAAATGCAGTACACATATATTAACACAAATCCTTATTTTAAGCACAATTTTCCATTTTAAAAACTTTAAAATCTGACTTACATATAGGAATACTTTTCGATTTTAAATTAATTCTCATTTACCGTAACTGTTGCTAAAGAGGTAGACTCTTTTTTAGCCTGACTTTTAAAAGATCTGCCTATTATATGATAGAACTTTATGAGACAGAGTTTTAGATAATCAGGCTGCTTGCTTTTCTGCCCCCCTCTGCGTTGGAGGCAGAAGGCCAGCATGTTGCTTGCATAAGGTACAAGGAAAAAAAAGCCTGCTTGATCAGGTTATTGCCTGAATTAAAACACCTATTTATAGTGGTATAATTAACAGACCTCTAGGCAGCGTCTAATTAAAGTTTCATTATTTATGGTAATGTTGGAGTTTCACCTGCTCATCTGACCTCTTTTGTGGTTTTATTGTTTGGCTGGTGCAAGTTATCTTACTGTCCCTGACTTTCTTCTTTTTCAATGCTGTCCCAGGAAGTAAGAATGTAAGTATCTCTTAGCAACGATCCTATAATCTTACTTGACTTGCTTGTTCCAAACACAGTTCCTCTTAAGACTAGTCTATTAGGCCCAGTTTAGAAAGCACCTGGTATTGATTGTGACTGATGCATATTCATCTTGTAGCTGGGTTATTATTTCCATGTTGGGGCTTTTAAATAAAGGGGCATGGGTCTGATTTTATCAAAGGAAAAAGGAGTTTTGCAATCCTGACCTTTTTATGACACTGGCAGCCTCGTAAGAGAAATGCTGGCAGAAAAAGATGCCCCTTCCCCAGGAAAGCTGTCACCTGATAATTTGGGGGAATTGTGTATGTTTTCTGTTGTGCCACTTACAGCACCTACTGAATAAGGAAAGTCAATAAAACTCACCTTGCATCTGCATCATCATAGTTGTAGAAAACACTCTTATCTAAAACTCCTATCTATTTTGATGCTTTCAGCAGTTATTCAGAATCATAATGAGACAGATGCCCGGTTAGAGGACTTCCGTATTTGCATCGTGGCTGTCTGGTTGGGCTTAGAGGTAACAAAGTCAAAAAGATGTACCCAGTTTTTCTTTCACCACCAGAAATACAGGAAAAGAAGCTGGCTATTTAGTACATGGGATTCAGTACCGTAAAAACTTTATAGCCATTCATGTAGTAGCTTATAAAAATCAAATTTAAGTTAAATTCAGTTACTCTGATCAATGACTGTGTCCCTTAACTGTTCCTTCTTCAGGCTTTGGCTGTCATATTCCTGTCTACCCTGTACTCAGTTCTTGCCCCTCATTCAAAACTGCCTTTTCCTACTTTTCTCTGTCTGATGTGCTGCTTGCTATACAGAAATGGGGTCTCGTTATCTAAATATTCTGACCTTAATGAACATCTCTTACGCAGATTTTTTTGTGAGAAAGCAGCCCACCCCTTTTTAAAAAGTATGATACTGAATGTATTTTGAAATTATAAACCATTATTAGTGTGGTGCTGCTTTGATCGTAGCATGTACTGAGAAACAAGTACATGGTGGAGAAAAGAGATGAACATAACACAGGAGGAGATAAGGTCATTTGCTTTCCTCCCCTTAGGAGCATTATGATGTCATTTCCATTTGCTCCTCACAGTTCCTCAGAGGAAATAGCATAAAGGCTATTCATGACCTGCCTCTCATAGTTCCAAGCTTTTCAGTACCCTGATGTGGATTTAAGACAGAGTTTTCAATGGGGCCAAGGTTTGAATTTTGCAAGTGTGGTTTTCCAGATCTTTGAATCAAGCATTCTGTTTCAAGTCACCAGTTGTAAGTGAAAAAACATGATATTTTTATATTAATATATAGTTCTTTAACAAAACAACAATACTAGTTCAGGGTGTATGTCTAATTGAATTTGTCCCGTTCATCTTAATTCCAAGTAGCATTTTACCTACATAATAATTGTCTATTCATAAAGTCCTTCACTGTGATAATCCCAGAATTTAATACTATATTAAGAATATTTGTATCTTAAAATGATGAAGATGTTCTAAGTTTACTATTAGCATACAAATGGTTGTTTCCTCTGCACTTTTTTTCACCAGGATTTTTAAATCAGATTATAGGTTAGATTATGTCCATATTTCATACTGATGTTCAGATTAAATGTGTGTGTACTGAGTAGGAGATAACTAATGTTATCTTTGTTCTTGTGTGGAATTTCCTCTTACAAAAGTAGCAGGGTAGATTTAAAATTAAATTTAAATTTAAAAAATGATTTTTTTTCCCACCCTGAAAAGAAATATAGAGTTCTCAACTATATTTCAGTTCTCTCCAATGAAGCATCTGTTTAATTCTGATGCTGGTTGGGTCTATAGCAATGGTTGTTAACATTACTTTAAATGTTGTAGGTACCATTTGAGTGTTTCTGTGCAATATCTGCCACACATGGTCAGTATACTACAGTGTTTCCCCGAAAATAAGACAGGGTCTTATATTAATTTTTGCTCCAAAAATGCATTAGGGCTTATTTTCAGGAGATGCTTTTTTTTCATGCAGAACAATCTGCATTTATGTCATCTTCTGGTTGCTGCACAATGGTGCAGGGTGGGGTTTCACTTAACTGGGGCTAATTTTTTTTTGTAGAGCTTCTATTATGAGCATCCTGAAAAATTATACTAGGATTTATTTTCAGATTAGGTTTTATTTTCGGGAAAACAGTATTCAGTATTTACAGAACTATAGGGCTGTATTAAATACATGCAGTCTTGGACTTTCCTTGCACATATTTATATACATCAGCAGCTGAACATCCTTTTGGATTTATTTCAGTTTCTTAACTGAGAACAACTCTGCTCAGACCTATCCTTAGTTCTTCTCCAATAATTGACTGAGTGTTCTCTGACCTGGGAGTCTCTTCCTCTGGCACCATCTATTCTTTCATTTTGGATTGTCTCACCATAAGGCTTTTGACGTATAAAGCATTCAGGTGTTGTTTACCCTTTTGCTGCCTTGTGTGACGTGCTCACCAGCATTAGCTTTACTGTCACTGCCATTGTTAATGATAGATTTCCTCAGAGTCATGCTGCACTACTACTACTGCAGCCTATTTCCTGCCTTCTAGAATTTCTTTGTCCCCATCAATTTTCTTATGCTGATGTGACCATTAATTCCTGAGGACTGCTGGATCTTAGCCTGGTGTCTCAGCTTTGACAATTCTGCCTTGGGAGACCCTTCTAGGAGTCTAGACTCATCATGGACTCTAGTTTCCTGATGATGTTGCTTTCAGCTTCCCTGGCACACTTAAATCCCTTCACACTTTTTAGGAGGGAACATTTTGGGCGTCTGTGCATGGAAGTACTCAGTGGGTTACTGGCAAACAAATTTGGAGCCAACCTTCTAAGGTTCAAGATGGACTTGCTATGCTTTTGGACATGGTCTATTGGGCTCTCTTTGACCTTCAGACGCCTGACGTACTCTAGCAGGGTTAGAGCTGTCTGCCTCACAAAATCCGGCCTAAGTAAAGTAATTGCCTGATCTAGTTTGTTATTATGCAAATATTTTCCTATATATTCCAATGGACAGAATTTTCGAGAGGACAGGGGCCATAATTTTACTGGCTTAAATCCAGTCGTGGGTTGCAACTAGAGTAAGTCCACTGAATCAGTGGAACTTACAGGGGAGTTGACTTGCCAAATCCCCACTGTGATTTTAGTCACTGTGTTAGGAGTAATCACACAAGTCTTGGGAAACATTGTGCCAGCTTTCTTGTCACACAAGTTGTCTTAAGGTAGTGCAGTCAGTAGAACAACCAATATACACACAGTAAAATGGAAAACCACTCACGTAGTTGCTCTTATACGTGCACAATGTCTTATTCCAGAATAGGACTTTTGGCCTGAGAATGTAAGCCACATTTCAGGATTTCGTATTCCTCTCTTGGTATTAGAGGGAATGGTCTAGTTTTTCAAACTGATTTTAATTATTTTGTGCAGTAGGAAAAAACGATATTGCTGTCTCAAATAATGGCAATACTGTGTTCTCAGTAGGGTTTAACAGAAATAGCATATAGAACACAGTCTAGATGCCCACAGCCCCTTCAATTTGGTTAAGGCTGTACATACAGTGAACTGGTAGAATCTGGAGTCTTGAAATGACTCAAACGTACTGATTGCTTTTTGTATGTCTTAGTTATTTCTGCATATGTATTATTGTGCTTGTCTCTTAATGCTGCCGTCCATTTGGAAGATGAGGACAAGAAAGCAGCTTTATACAGCAGAGAAAGTGTGGGTGGACAAGCACATGTATGATGAAGCAGAGAGACTTCACTATGAACGGGAAGCAAGTTTAGCAGCCTCTGCAGCTGGAGCCCACCAGGAGGTGGTGGCGGTGGCGGTGAATGGCTTCTGCCATGAAGGGCCTCCTGAGGAGTTGCTGAAGGAGGACGTATGGAGTGCAGGAAGTAAGAGAAAGCAGAAGAAAAGGAAGTGCTCACCCAAAGCCAAGCCTTCAGGTCTGAAAGTAGATTTTGTCCTGGCGGGGTTATTAGCTGAGCATGTGTGGTTCAATAAGCCCCTGTTTGACCAGGCAGAAAGCAACTACAGGAAGAAGCTGGCCGAAACATTTCCCCTGGCAGCTGGTGGGACGGTCTTGGCTGCTGAGCAAAGGGGGCTCATGCCCTCAGTAGAAATAGAGTCCCTCCAAGGTGATGTTATGCCACAGAAAAAACTGTCCTCCTTGCCCTGCAACCACGGCAGTCTGTCATCCTGTCATCACATCATTCAGGACATTTGGGTCAATAAGTTTGACTTTGATGAAGCCGAGAAGGTGTTTGTTGAGCGTTCTCAATTGGTGCCTCTGCCACACTTCCTGGACCTTTCATCTGCGGTGTCAGGTAACAGCCTTGGGCAAAAAACACCAGACGAAGGCTATGTGACTGGCCTACCTACCCCTTCAACACCAGCTCAGTCTGTGGATATTGTACCTGACTCCAGTGCATCCTTTGCTTCCTCCCCTCTTCCTGATGTTTCAAACCAGACAGTGAATGGCAAACCTCAGCTGTCAAGTTTAAGGGCCCTGATCTCTGAAGTTTGGCTGGAGAAGCCCGTTTATGATGATGCAGAAAGATGCTTCTATACGAACATGTTTGATGGGCATCCTCCGGGAAAGGTGAGGTTGCAGGAGTTTGGACAGTCAGAGTCCTCAAAGAGGAGCAGGAAAGAGAAAAAGAGCAGGAGCGTGGGGAAGCAGGCGTCCTGCAAGAAAGGGAAGAATTCTATTGCCACCTCTGCCGCCACACCTCAAGAGGCTTCCCAGTCCCGACCTGCCTGGTACTTCATACACAAGGACAGTGAGTCTCCGTGGTTCAGCAAACCCACATATGATACTGCTGAAGCGCACTACTTCGCCTTCCAAGCCTCGGAGCTGGCCAGCAAGCAAGAAAGCAGCAGCAGCACATTGGGAACGATGCTGGCAAAGCCACCCAAGCCTTCTCCCGGAGCTCCAAGTGCATCAGAGTCTGATACTAAGTAGGACTATATTTGTTCTGGAGTAACGTTAGCAAACCTGACGGATGGGCCACATAGAGTTGGAGGAACTCCTTGTTACAGGATGGCAAATGCTCCCTGTTGCTTGTGCATGTGTCTGTGCATGTGTCCTCTGTAGAAATAAGAGAGCAAGCCAGAACAGATGTTCACGTAATGTTTTGCCATCATGACTGGGGTGGGTGGACCCTTTCGATAATTAGGCTTTTTGGACTGGAGTTAGAAGCCCCCTGTCTTGCTTGACTTTATACGTTTCTATTGTTATAGACGGCAGCACAAAGCAATATATCATAGAGGGGAGGGATTTGGAGAAATATTTGATTTCTCTCTCTCTTTCTCTCTTTTCCAAACTTATTTGGGGAGTATAAGACTTCACCCTCCAAGCGGCATATTCCTCCCCTAGCTAATGAGTATTTCCGTGTATTGCTCAAATACGGAGCTTAAGCAATTCACCTCTATTAAGAGAGTGTCATATGCTGAATCTGAAAGTGGAAGTGGCACGTTTGTGCAGATAAGCTTGTTCTCTAGAAGAGCTGTCTGTACTCAGATGTGTTATGCTTTGGAGGTATTTTGAGGGTAGATATTTCTGTGGGCAGATTTTGGACATTTATATGAGTGAGATAAACTAGATCTGCTCGCCCTTAAAAGTGCTTCTTTGGCTGTATGTTTTCTCCTCCTGAGCTTGTATATCTTAGCAATGTATTTTAAATTTGAATCATCTGTCAGGATTAATCTTCCCTTCTTGAGATCTATTCCCCTATGAGTCTTTGTGACCCATTAGTTGCTAAGTAGTCACCTGCTGTATACTGTGCTTCCCATTTCCATGTTTTTGAAGAGAAAGCACTTCCTCTCCCCCCCCAATTTGAGTGTTGAATTGTTGTGTAAGTTTATGAGTATGTGTCCTTCCCCTTTAACCCTGATTTACTCTTAGGAGTGTTGTGTACAGTGGTGCCTCGCTTAGCGATTGCTTCGTTTAACGAAGAATTCACTTAACGATGTGTTTCTTGGAGGAATTTTCCGCATCGTTTAACGATGTTCTCTATGGGGGATTTTCACTTAATGTCCATTTTCGCTCATTTTTAAGTGTGTCAAAATGTTTGAAACCTGTTCAATGTTTGAACTCAATGGATTTAAATGGGGAAAACAAAAAGTCACCAAAAATTAACGAAGACTCAGAACAAAGCCAAATTAAGTTTGCACATGTTTCACAAGGTCCACTACTGATTCCAAGCATTCAAAACAGGTTTCAGACATTTTAAGACACTTAACAATGAGCGAAAACGGACATCGGAAAGCCATTGAAATGCATTGAGTCGGCTTCAGTGCTTTTGAATGGCTTTCCCTTGGGGGAAACATAGTTTCACTTAGCGATGTTTCCTATGGGGATTTTTGCTTAAGGACGGTAATCCGTTCCCATTGGAACGGGTTAACCGGTTTTAATGCATTCCTATGGGAAATGGTGTTTCGCTTAACGATGTTTTCCCATAGCGATTTTTTTGAACCAATTAACATCGTTAAGCGAGGCACCACTGTAATTCTCTTTGGCCTTTATGAGGAGCAAGCTATGGTACAGTGGAAGGAAGGCCTCCACAGTAGGGGTGGGGGACATCCTGTGCATTCCTTGTTCAGTGAAATACATTCTGTTCCTTGGTTTGGTGAGCAAGGGAGTGCTGTTTTTCTTAGAGGAAGTTAGTTAAAGACTGTTCCAGAACAGTCTCTTTCCCCCCTCCCCCCATAAATGACTTGATATTTAGGTGTCACATGGTTCCCGGAGATCCAGTCGTAGTGCCCTCTGCTCCCGGCTTGGTAGTTGTAGTCTGCTTTCCCAGGGAGAGGTAGGCAGTGTCAGGAAAGCAGTGCATCTGAGCATGATGCAGCTTCTGCAAGGCAAAGTCTTGTGTCTGGTAGATGTGTTAAAAGACTGCATGGCTTTTCAGCTGTTTAACGTTTGCCTGTGTAATACTTATCTGTGATTGGCTGAAAATGATTGAGGTTTGTTCCCCAGGCTGTGTGAATCAGCTATTCGCAGTTATCTGCCTGTTATGCAGACATTTCCCACTGGGGTGGTGTCAGAAGGTCAGTGAGGTGTTACTGGAAATGGTCCTAAAAGGAAAGGGGGGTTGTCTGAATCAGGCCCTACCTCTTGTGCTTAACTCTTCCTGGATTTTTATTTAGGCTTTTCCTTGTTGCAGAAACATGGCAACCAGTTTCCTCATGCACGAGAAGATCTGGTTTGACAAGTTCAAATATGATGATGCTGAGAAGAGATACTATGAGCAGAAGAACGGTCCCCTCTGCAGCCCTTCCAGCCAGCAGGTAAGGCCCTGTTACTGTCCTATTGCTTGGAAATAAGGCCATTTCAGAGTCCCTATTGATTCTGGAGTAGTGCAGCCGTGTGCGTGAGTTTCAGGCAGAATCTCAGCACCAAGCAACACATGATGACTCCTGCTAGATCAGTTAGCACCGTGTGCCCCCTCGCCCCAAAACTAAATGATGTTCAGTCATAAATAGTGTTTGAATTTGACTGCCAGCTGTAGGATCTGGGGAAGAATATCGGCGTTGGGCTGGATATAGTCCTCCAGATGTTGGTGAAATGGAATTCCCATCCATCCTAACCAGCATAGCTGCTGTTTAGATATCACAGGAACTGAAGCCTAGCCACATGTGGATTGTCACAAGTTTCACACCTGTGTCTTAGACAATTTAGTGTTCTAGGGCAGTGGTTCTTAACCTTTGTTACTTTGGTGCTTTTGAACTGCAACTCCCAGAAACCTCAGCCAGCAGAGCTGATGGTGAAGGCTTCTGGGAGTTGCAGTCCAAAAACATCTGAGTAACAAAGGTTAAGAACCAGTGTTCTAGGGCATCAAAATTGTCTTCTGGATGGAAGAGAATTTTCCACTCCTAGTCCAGCAATATTCCTCACTGCTCTAATAATTTTGCAGGTGTCTTTCATTGTAAAGGAGAGATCTTTTGGTCTGTTTTGGTAGAAGAGCTTCTCAGCTATTGTATCACATATGCTATCCCATCTTATTTATATATTTTGACCTATTAACCCCATTCTTCTCCTGATCATTTTAATATTATAATAATAGCGTGCCATCAAGTTGATCCTAATTTATGGCATCTCTTTCCAGGATTTTCTAGATACAGTGGTACCTCGCTAAACAACAACCCCGCTAAATGACAAATCTGCATTAACGATGACTTTTTGCAATCGCTATAGCGATTCGCAAAACAGTAATTCCTGTGGGGGATTTTCGCTGGACGTGCTTCGCGGACCGTTTGCTCACAAGTCGATGATTTTTTCAGCTCTGCAAAATGGCTGCCCTGTGTTTTCCGGACCCATGCTTCACAGGGCAGCCCTTTTTACAGCTGATCAGCGCTCACAAAATGGCTTCCCTATGGGCGATCTTTGCTGGACGACGAGGTATTTTCCCCATTGGAATGCATTAAACTGGGTTTCAGTGCATTCCAATGGAGAAAGGGTTTTCACATGACAATGATTTCGCTAAACAGCGATTTTCATAGGATGGATTATCGTCATGCGGGGCACCACTGTATAGAGTGCTCAGAAATGGTTTACCATTCCCTTTTCCTCAGAGTGCTCTGGGACCATGTAGTTTGCCCGAGATTATACAGGTTGTTATTTCCTTCCAAGAGGCACAATGGGGAATCAGCCTCTGGCTCTGTAGCCAGGTTCCCAACTCACTGAGCTAGCCCCTGAGTATTAATTAAAAAACAGTCTCAGCTGAGGGGGAGGTGTTGTAAAATAAATAACACATAACAAAAAGGGAAGGGTTCAGGAGAGGAAGAAACAAAAAGTCAATTTGAGATTTTAAAAATTGAATACTAGTTCCCACAATGACAGACTGGCAAGGAAATAATTAAGGAAGGGTGGAGGCCAGCTAGTCCCTTGTCCCCCATCTCCTCATTCTTCCTCCTCTCCAATATATTGGGACAAACAGTTTTATATAGCTTCTGGTTGCAAATCCTAGAAATCACGTGTGAATTGTGAACATGTTGTGGAAAGTTGTTTGGTTTCCTAACTTAATGCGTTTCCCAGTGTATAAAAATGCTTTCACAGATATTTCCATCTCAGGCCATTACAAACCCATTGCCATTTTTGTTTGTGTTCTTCCGTTATCTGAATAATCATTCTAGGACTGCTGACCATGGTAGAATGATGCACATTGAAAGCATTTTGTTCTCTAAATAAGAAAACATTCTAGTGACTGTGTTCAGGGATAATGATTAAGCTTTATGAAAACACAGTTGGGGAAATTTGGCTTATATACTTTCTTGTGTGCAGGAGAGTAAACTTGAAGCTTCCAGATACTGTTTGTGCTCAACTACCCTTTTCCATTTTGTGTGAAATTGTTCAAAACTGAATGTCAAGTATAGATGCAGCAATGGGTTATCTTCCCAGTTTAACAGTCAATGAATTTGGGCCAGCCATAATTTCCAGGACTCTGAGAAAGCCAGTTTGTTACAAACCACATTGGAAAACTTCAGCTTTAATACAATATATGAATGTGACAGCTGTATTATGTGCAGTACTGTGCAGACTTTCCCCCCAAATTGCCTGGAAGGCAGCTAAACAGCAGAGAGTGAAGATTTTCATCCCAGCAGTCCTGAACATAAATTGCATTTTCCTGTGAAAGTATTAACCCTTAAAGGAAGTGAAGCAAATTCTTATACACACTTTGTCTTTTAAGACATTTTGGAGGACAGAAGCAATAGTGTCAAACAAGCAGCATTTGACAGGTGTCTCTTTCCCTTTTACCTTCAACAGAAATTTGTATCTGGAAACTTGTCTGAAAGTTGCTAAATCTGGACGTGGAGGACATTTATCTTGCTTCCTTCTAAGATTAGAAAAGTGTAGAAGAGGCCTGACCTTCTGGGCAGTAGTTGGAGAGTCTCCAACTTAGTCCTGATTAGAGATGGGCACTTTGTATTTGTATGGCAGGGCACCACAGGTGATGCTGAGTTCTACCTCCCTCCCACCAGGCTGGCTGAGCCACTCACTGGGCTTCATGTGCTGCTGGGGCCCTTTGGCAGTGGCACTCCAATCCAGGCAGACACCCAGCCAGCCTTTTCCCGCCTCCCCAGGCAGCCAGCCACTCTGGTGAAGAGACGGAATGGAGAATCTCCCTGCACAGCCAGTTAGCGTTTGGTTGCCTGAGGAGGCAGGGAAAGGCTGGCTGGGCTCCTGCCTGGATTGGAGCTCTGCTGCCAAGGAAGAAACCCAGCAGCATGTGGAGCCCAGTTCGTGGACCAGCCGGCCTGAGAGGAAGAAGATGGAATTTAGCACAACCTGTGGTGCTGTGCTTTGTACATCTTCATATGAAGTTGTACGAAGCATGAAGCAGCCATCTCTATTCCAGACTTATATTAAAAACTTGGCACCTAAGCAGTGGTATGTAGTCTTGTAGTTGAATGACGTATCAGCATACCTTCTGCTGACTGTTTCTTTCCCTAGATTAAAGAATGTCAAAGTAATAATTGGGACAGAGGGACATGTTGTGAGAATGCCAAAGACTAGTGATGTGTTGAGTTGCCTTTGTACATTGTCTGAAGCATTTTCAAAGATGGTGGTTGAATAATAGTTGCTAAGGTTACATTTACATTTGTTCCCTGCTTTGCTTATAGAGTAGTACTGTGGGGGCAAGTAATTCCTTCATAGGAGCAGCTGCTTAAGTCATGTTTACAGGGAGTTGAATATTAGAGGGTCAGTGTGTAAGAGGTTCACCCTAACTAGAGTGGCAAGGAAGGGAATCAGTTTACTTGAATGTATTCAGCACCCCACTCAGGCTTTCATCTGAACACTGCTGCTTTAGTAAGGAATAGAGAGCAGATGAAATCCCCGTACTTTGGAGAACCAAGTTACAAGAATCGGCATAGTTGCTAACTAACCCTTCTGGAGAACATCCATGTAGAAAAATGTGCACTCGTGAGGGTTAGACAGGTGCTTTCCAGGGTACACATTTCTAAATATAGATCTTTAGTTATGGGGCAGTGATTTAACCTTCTATATGCTACAAGGGAGACTGATGTGTGCTCTTACTGTCCACATGTTGGTGCCCCTCCTTTCTCCCCTAGCATACGGGCACTACCATGAGCCCTGACTGGTTGGGGTAGAAAGCATAATGGGCATTGTGCTACCATTCTGCAGGTGCGATAGTTTTGTAAGAGGATTGAGAAACAGCTGACTGATAGTGTGTATTTTTTGGGAGAAAGTGTGGACTGTCATTCTACTTTGGAAAAGTAACCTACACCAAAGCTTATCTGGTTTGGGATCTGATGAGCTGATGCATATAATCTCAGTTCAGTCGCTAGGTGCTTGTATGTATGTAAAGGATGCCATATGCATGCCATACCAGCCTTCTCTTACATTGTTTTTGCCGCCATTAAGATACATAATGCTCATAATCTAAAAACAATAACCATGCAAAGAGACATATAGCCCATGTCAGGGCCAAGCCTAGAAACAGGCCAACCTGAGAGAATTTATGCTCATGGCTTGGAAGTGAGGAATGCAGTAGCCAGCGCAGAACTTGGCGTTCTGAAATATTTCACCGTATCAAAAAGTGTCTTCTCTTCCTAGTCACAGAAAGGGACTTGATCATATGTGCACAGGAGCTGGCAAGAGGCACAAGCCAGAGATATGGTTTTCCATTGGCAGTGCAGTGGGGGATTTAGTTCTTTGCAACTAACTCCTCTCTCAGTTTCTCCAGCCTAAACTTTTTAGCTGCCATTAGCATACTCTCCTACTCTGTTTTCCATTTTACAACTGTGATCCTTGAAAGAGGAAGAGGCATTTTTTTTGTTTTTTTAAAAAAAGCCTGGACCATATAAGGTGCATATTGTGGAAAATAATCATATGCACTTCATTTACATAACTTGGACGACAGAATTTATGTCTCTTTACCGCAGAGCACATTAGACTTGATGGCACGTTATTATTAGTAAGTGCAGAAACTACTAAATTTGTTGACAAATTGATATAAGTTTCTTTTGGTCTTCAGGTGTTACCAGTATACTTGCATTCAAGGCAGACAGTGATGGGCCAGAAATTATTTTATCGGCACATGTTTGTACTTTCTATGGAAATCTGGATTGTAGACAAAAGCATGATGCAAACATATTTGTAGCTATGTCATGAATAGTTTTGCCTGCCTGCAGGAGTTGATGGGCAGCTGGAATGTTCCAGTGCTTGATGCCTGGGAAACCCCTTCCTTTAGTGGCTGTTGTAGAAGAAAAGTCTCTCTGTGTGTAGGCGCCACAGCATAACTGTTGCGGTCAGCAGCTGGATTTTCTTGTTTGTGACTTTATTCTTGGTTCACTTTTGTATATAGTTAAGCCCTTCCCCTCCAGCCTCAGCAGATTTTCCTGTTACTTGTGTGTATCTTTAAAAAAAAAAAACACTTGGTTCTTTCTGCGCTGTTTGCAGGAGAACGGAGCCAGCACGATTCTACGCGACATTGCCAGAGCCAGGGAGAATATCCAGAAGTCGCTGGCCGGAGTGAGTACCTGTGCGCTCTCTCACCAGCTGGCTAACTGCATTCATTATTCCTAGCTATGGCATATCTTACTCATATCCCTCCTTCCCTGCTTCAGATGATTCCCTGCCTCTCAGACTGTGCATGTATGGCTTTTAACTTAGCGTGTCTGGATATGGTGAGATGATAACTGTACTATTGGGGCATCTTATAACAGAGAGACACATGTGCCTCGCTTACCTTTTAGCAGATTAATCCTAAGTGAAGTTAGTGTATATTGGGCCCTTAGCTTACAGTTTAGGGAGCCAGAATACACATTTAGAATATTCAACTTTTGCTGGAAAGCTTTATTTCAAATGGCAGGTAGGAGATGACATTCTTAGATGCATCCTCAGCTTAAAAAATTCTCTCACTTGAAGCAAAACTACAATATGAGTATGTCAGTGAGAAGAAACCTATTATTTATTATTTATATATATGCACTGGTGGAGATATGCAGTTTGTAAGATGGGGAAAGATTCAGGCATGCAATCTTCTGTCGGTTGAACTGAGGCAAGCAGTAATAGCAGTGTTATGTTTCCTGTGTTTTTGTATGATTGCTCTTTAATAATGGAGCACCATAAACAGTTGAGTGGTCAGTAGGAGAATGATTGTGAACTGATACAGTAACTAGCCATCATTATCCAATTTGACTTCCTCTGTTGTCCTTGTGTTTTGGACTGCAGCACTTGTAAGTCTCAGGAAGTATCATGGCCGTTGACTACTGTAGGTACAATGGGAACTGGAGACTAGAATTATCTCCAGGGGATTTCTTGTGCTGGCTACCTTTGTGCTGCTGTTTCTCAGAAGAAGATCGTTTAAATCCTAGGTTCCCAACCTTTGTTACTCAGATGTTTTTGAACTGCAACTCCCAGAAATCCCAGCCAGCACAGTTGGTGGTGAAGGCTTCTGGGAGTTGCAGTCCACAACTCCTGAGTAAGCCAAGGTTGAGAACCAGTGGTTTAAATGAAACAGGAGCAACGCATTCTAGATTTCAACTCACCTTTTGTTAGAACGAGAGCAGTTCCTAGGCATCTGCTGTCTGTATAGTTTGGCATCCCCGCCCGGATCCTAGGATTCTGTGGGTTCCACCTTGTCAGATACTTAAATTGTGCTCACTTGGAGACAGGTGGAGAGTTCCCTGCAAGTAAATGCCAGGTCCCTTCCTCATCTTATAGGCAGCTAAGCCGGAGCTTGCCCTGTCCTGCACCATGAAGTCTTTTAGTCTTGCCTTTCTCCAGGTGGGGACAGTTTAGGTGTGTGTCTGGCTGTTAGAACCTCCCAAAAAGGAGAATTCTGGAATTTGGAGTTTGAAAAGACCCAAAGACAAATGGACATTCCTCACAGTCATCTCTTCACATCCCTCTTACAACAATATTGCACAACCTGACATAGTAAAACATATGAGAGGTGTTGTTATTAACCACCTGAAAGCAATTTCTGCATTAAATCCTTTAATGTTGTACAAGAGTCCAGTCCAGCTAGGCTTTCTGCACAGAGAATAGATGCATTTCTCTTTATTTATATGCTGCCTTTCTCCTAGAACCGAAGATGGTACATACAACAGTTCAAAACAAGATTAAAATACAGTGGTGCCTTGCATTACGACGTTAATTCGTTCCAGCGAAATTGCTGTAGAACCAAAACGTCGTAAAGCGATTTTAAAAAGCCCATAGAAACGTATTAAAACCCGGTTAATGCATTCCTATGGGCTGGAAACTCACCGTCCAGCAAAGATCCTCCATAGCGTAGCCATTTTCGCTGCCTGTGCAGCGAGGAATCCGTCCCAGAAAACAGTGGGTGGCCATTTTGTTTACCCAGCAGCCATTTTGAAACTGCCGATCAGCTGTTAAAAAATCATCGCTTTTCAAGAATCGGTTCCTGAAGCAGGGAACCAATCATCGCAAAGCGAAGTTCCCCCATAGGGAACATCGTTTTGCAGTCGTTTTTGCGATCTCAAAAACATCGACGTCAAGTGGTTTCGTCGTTAAACGGAGCGCCCGTCTTGCGGGGCATCACTGTACAATACAATTGCAAACATTGGAATATAAATGAATTCAGTTTAAAGGACACTCTGGGTGGTTTACAAGTTAATTATGCAAGCTACACATCCTCCGCCCCTCCAGTGAGCTGGGTACTCAATATACTGACCTTGGAAGGATGGAAGGCTGAGTGAAGCTTGAGCCAGCTACCTAGGATTTGAACCCCAGGTCATGAGATCAGTTTTGGCTGCAGTACAGCCCTGGGGCACTGGTGACAAGACACGTAGCTGCCGTACCAGATTCAGAGTTCAGCCTATGACCATTTCAGTATAATCTGGCCATATTCATCCATTCCATGCTATGCTTTGTCTACTGCATCTGCAGCTACTCCTAGAGAGAGTACCTGAAGCTTCAATTCATGCAGTGTGCCAGTTGGGCTGCTAAGAGAGCTTGCTGTTTCAGCCAAAGTATCCTTGTTTTTGTACTAGCTACCTCCAGCACCCTAAATGCTTTACCACCAGGCATCATAGGAAATGCCTCTCCTGCTATAAGCCTGTTTGGTCATTTGGAGCAGCAGGAGAAGCTCTTACAATGGATGCTATAAGATGAAAAGTTATGAAGCACTGGTGAAATGTTCAGATCTTGCAGTGACTAATCTAGCAGCCTGTCAAAATGCTATGGATGCAAATGAGAAGCGTGCTAATATTTGGGAACGAAGTACTACTGTACAGCCTAAAGTTGGATTGATGGCAGAACAGCAATCACTCATTTGTATGGAGCATTGTCATTGGCAGGGCAGCACGGCAGCTGATTTACTTAAGATAATGGGTTTTGTGACCCAGTGTTTTTGTGTGAGCTACGTGCCCCAGTGTAAAACTTGCTACTAGGCAAATTCCCACTGGAAGCCTTTCCATAAGCCTGTCACAAGTAAGCAAACTATGGGAACTCCAAAACAGCCACCCTTTAGAGAAGAAAGAATTACATACAATATATGTTCATCCTGTACCATTTAGTGGAGATCTAAACACCTTGCAAGATATTTGTATCTATGTATTCGCGAAGGCTTTCACGGCCAGGATCTAATGGTTGTTGTGGGTTTTTCGGGCTTCTTGGCCGTGTTCTGAAAGTGGTTCTTCCTAACGTTTCACCAGTCTCTGTGGCCGGGGTCTTCTGTCCCTGTGGTTGATGGGTGTCATTAGCTGGTTTTTTGTGTGCAGTAATCCCTTGACCTTGTGGCTGGGTGGAGTTCCTTGACCTTTTGCACTCTGTGTTTTTGAGAGCTGGGAGCCAGGTTTTGTTGAGTTTCAGACATTCCTCCTTCCGGTTGAAGTTTTGTTGATGCTTGTGGATTTCAGTGGCTTCCCTGTGCAGTCTGACGTAATGATTGCTGGTATTGTCCAGTATTTCAGTATTTTGAAACACAGTATTTCAGTATTTCTCCCCTCCTTATCAAAACAATACAGCCACAACAAAACACACTAATCAACCATCTCCTAATCAGGACAATAGCCTATCTCACAAACTAGCCTTCTCACAGCCATAAATACTCCACCCACTCTCAAGCCTACCCAGAGCACAGTTTGCTGTCCTCTGAAGACGCCGGCCACAGAGACTGGCGAAACGTTAGGAAGAACCACTTTCAGAACACGGCCAAGAAGCCCGAAAAACCCACAACAACCATATTTGTATCTGTTTGAAACTTTTCTTACTCAAGCTGCACCATAGAACAGTTGCCAGGAAACATTATTTTGTAGTAAAAGGACATTATACTTTGAGATAATGGAATCTGGCCCGTGGATGAAATAATAGCAGATCACGGTCAAGAGACCTTCTTTATTACTCAGCGGGAACCACACCAGGGATGTCCTCCACAGTACTGGCCTATTGTACCCAGTCCAAACACAGTTGATGGGGCACAGCTATGCAGTCTTTTCATTGATTCACAAGTTCTGTATAGTTTAATGTTACTCATGACTTCCAGTGCTATGGTTATTGACCATTTTCCTGACATATTGGAATGTAGTACTTTGGACAATACTTTGGACAATATCAGTACTGTACACATAAGGAATTCGTAGAGAATTGCTAATTAGTTTTCCTTTCATAATGTAGTTGTGTTCACCTATGGTGAGCCTAAGACTGGATAGTGGGAAATACCACAAATACCTTGAAAGATGCCCAGGTGTGACAGTTCACTTCAGTTGCATATGTCCTCTCTCTCAGTAACCTATAACCGAGGAGGTATTTTAGCCCAATGGTCCCCATCCTTGGGCCTCCAGATGTTCTTGGACTACAACTCCCAGAAGCCTTCACCACCACCTTTGCTGGCCAAGATTTCTGGGAGTTGAAATCTAATAACATCTGGAGGCCCAAGGTTGGGGACATTGTTTTAGCCTGCCAAGCATCTGTTAGCCTACGAGATAGAAAAGTGATGTGTAGCGTGCTGGAGACAGAAATCAAGCACACTATGCTGAAGTTTCATGGGGTACATACTGGAGATTAAATAGAAGGAAATCTGTGTTTTCTCAGTTTTCTGGCAACAGTCTGATACACTGGAAGTCTAAAAATTTGTATTCATTTCATCATTTATTTTTAAAACCAACTGTATCTTGCTTTGATCTCATGCATTATGGGTATGTAAAATTTTTAGGTAAGTTAAACTTTTGACATCAGAATATACTTTGATGCCTCTGGATGACCCTCTGTCACTTGGCGGGTAGGTCACATCTCAGAGGTGAAGAATTGAAACCCACTGGTGTCAAAAAAGGACACTTTCTAAGATGTAGCCCCATTTCATGTAACTGGTTGCTGTTTGCATAGATCTGTACAGTCTTAGCATTTCAAAGGTATCTTTTCAGCCTGAATCTTAATTTTAATGACAAATGTGATAGTTATGCAAGAATAGGCGATAGGTTTAGGTCACTAATAAAAAATCATACAATGTGCAACCTTTTGTGGGTAAATCTCACTTCTTTAAATGCACATTGTATGATTTTTTTATTTTTTATTAGCGGCCTATAAAGGTATCACCTATCGCCTACACTTGCATTTGTATTTTGTAATGGCCACCCATCTCCCTCCTTTTCTTTCAGTGTTATACAATGATCCTCTAGGATAGTGGTCATATATCACAATTGATTCGATCCAAAACTCATAATTAACATGGCTGGAGAAAAGGAGGGGAGAGCGAAAAAAGGTGACTCTCTTGGACAGCGGATCACCGTATCTCCATAACATTGTTGACCTCTTAAAGCACAGCCTGAAGTGTTTACTGGTTATTTATCCTGGTTTAAGATGAATGTTTTGGCACCAGCCTTGCCTACCAACAGTACAGCCAAGGCAACTGCTTTCAGATCCATTTTGCCATTAATTAGGCATGGCAGTCAAAACTGGGAACCAGTTCTCATCCTTCCTCCCCACCTTTTTAATCTGCTGCCCGTTGTAAGTGCTTAATTTACTCACAGCTTTTGGAACGTGGCAGCTGCCCGAGGCTTGTCTGCCTCGTTGTTTTGCATGTCTTTGACCAAAATATTGTACAGCCGCTTCAACTGCTTTTTGTGTTGTTTTGGATCATCTTCCTTTTTTGAGTTGTTTGTCCCCAACCCGTGCTTTAGCCTCAAGATATTATTTACATTTAGTTCTTCTTTACTTAGGCATGCTTTTGTGCATGTGGGTTTGACTCCTGTGCTTCCCTGCCCATAGCTGCATGAGTTGAATCCGCGTGGTTTGGTTTTTACACAAACGCCAGAAAACATGCTCTTGCCCTTTGCAGCTCAAGACAGTTTTACAAAACCCTCCCGAAGCCCCTCCGGTTCAACGCAAGAAGCGGTCGGGTCGTGCGGCTGTAAGTCGCTGGTGGGGTAGGGCCACAATGCTGTACCGTATTTGTCCATCTATCAGGGCTAGCCTGCAGGCGCGATTGCTCCTACTTAAGGCTTTCCTCTTTCTCCCCCTTTCCCTATATTGTCACCCTGCTGTTTTTAAAAACACTGTGCCTTTGTTTATTTCACCTGTTGTGCTTCTGGTTTTGTCAAATTTGGACATTACTATTCAGCCACCATTCGGGAATTGCATCCTCAGTGGGGATAGAGACCCTAAGCTGTAAAGACAGACTCTTGTTTCTCCCTTACGTTTCCTGAGGATACAGAAGTCCTTAGTCTCACCTGGAGAATGTGTGCAGTACAATTTCTGACTTTTCTTTGACCAACCTGTGCCATATCTTGGGTTGCTTTTGGAAAAAAACCATTAGTTTTGCTAATAAATTTATTTTACTGCATGGGGAGGGGCGGATGTGCTTGGAAAAAGCCATCTTCTTTAGGCTGTGGCTCTGTTCCCTGTCTTCTGGAATACCGACCAGATTGTTCAGAGAAGAATTGAAGCCACCTGTGCCAATCCTGTAAAAATTAATACTTGCTTGGTGGTATCTTCAGAGCATGAATTGGCTTCCTTTTTCCCATTGGTACACATCGGCCACAAAACATTGTCATGCATAGGTTGCTGGAAGATGCCACGCCACGCTGTTCTGTTGGTGCTCCATTATGACTTCCTAATGTGAGAAACTGAGGAAACCAGTCCTGTGTTCACCAGATCCCTTGTGTTTTCTGTCTTCAGTGTTCTCTTTGAATAAGCTTTGTTCTAGGTGCACTTTCCCAGCCTCTCCTACTCATTTCCATCCTGCTGCTGCTGCTACTGCTCTGTTAGGATGATGTGTCTGTTGTCTGATAAATGCCAGCGTTTCCCCAGGCCTCACTCTCCACTTCATGCTGTCTGTTGCAGAGTGCCAGCAGCACATCTTCTGCAGGACCTGCCGGGGACCAAAGTGAGCTGGTCACCAGGATTGCCAGTCTAGAGGCAGAGAATCAAAACCTTCGTAGTGGTGAGTGCTCAGAACTTGGTAATGGGTTATGATTGTGCATGAGAATCCTTTTCTGTTCTTTAAAAGAAAATTTTCTGCAATTTTCTTTATGGTTTGACTGCTGTAAGAAGCTTCATGACCCTCTTAACTGAGGGATTGGAAGAAAGGAAACCTGAATGCTTCATTGTATCCTCTTAGATCCCGTTGGTTAACCATACTTTTCTTCCCTGCAACATTTCCAGTGGTTGCAGACCTCCAGCTTGCCATTTCCAGACTGGAATGTCGTCTGAGTGTAGTGGAAAAAACATCTACTTCGCATCACCCTTCCCCACCTCCACCAACACAGGTAAAACTCTTTGTCATTGGGCTCTCCTCTGTGTCGTGTTTGACTCACTTTAGGCAGACATGGGGGCTCCTTGTGATAGGGCAATCCTACTTCTACCAAGAACTTTTGAGTAGTGTTGTCTAAAGCTCATTTTCTTTAATTATCCAAGTGCAGTAGTTTTGCAACAAGTTTTTATTTTAAGTTCCACTGATGATTACATGAACTCAATCAGATCTACCTGATACAAACAGCTACTGTTTTATTTATTATTTAGGCAGACATGGGGGCTCCTTGTGATAGGGCAATCCTACTTCTACCAAGAACTTTTGAGTAGTGTTGTCTAAAGCTCATTTTCTTTAATTATCCAAGTGCAGTAGTTTTGCAACAAGTTTTTATTTTAAGTTCCACTGATGATTACATGAACTCAATCAGATCTACCTGATACAAACAGCTACTGTTTTATTTATTAANGTTACTTACTTTCAGTTTAAAAGCTGCTTTCACTAGTATCAGTAAGATTACTGTGAGCACCCTGACACTGAGTTGGCACACCTTAATTAAGTGGCTTTTGAACAGGATCCTCAAAGTATGAACTTACAGGCCATGGAATCCCTTCACGGTGGAACAGGATTCTGGTGTGTGTTCCAGGACTCTTCTGGTGGGGTTTCATGTTTCTTTTTGAGGACTAAGAGTTCTGCCTACAGGGGAAGGCTGGGTCAGGGTGGATATATTGTCTTCAAGAAGTTTTTCCACATTACACTCCGTGTTACAGACTCAAGATGCTTGATCTAGATGCTTGTCCTGGAGTAGCTCTGCTAAAAGAGGGGAACCTTGTTCACACTTCAGGGACCAGGTTACATCTCCTAGAAACGGGCTGGGCAAACCAAATTAGAAGTGCATGGCAAGAAATACATTAAGGAAACATTAATTGCTGCATTGCAAGGCAACACCATTGGTGTTGGGCAAGACCAGCCATTGTCAAGGGGGGGGCATATGACCCTGGGTCATTTGACGGGGGCCACTGACTGGAAACAATTATTTACACACTACTTTATGTTAAGTTATGTGACTTACACAATCCTGATTCAACCTATATTCCTTTCATACTATATGGCCGTGGCCAAAAAAAAAACAAGAAGTTGAGAATGACTGATTTAGATGATAGATCGTGCAAAACAGACTTGTTACTACTGTACCTCTGGAGCATCTGATAAATGTGGTAGGTGTGCTGTGTACCTGGTTTAATAACTCAAAGAGATAGGAAATAGTGATCAGCCCGCATGCCACAAAGAATTCAAACATGAAGTGAGGATTTAGGTTAATGAAAAATGCACATTACAGTCTAGTAATCTGTGCTGAACTATGCTTTGGTTTAGCTCTTGCTCATTTCATTGTAGTGGGCTTGGGGAAAATGTTTTTACATGTATTGTGCTTTTATGTTGCTTCATGCGGCGGCTTCTCCTCAGCATTATTTTCCGTTCTGTTTGGCAATTGCATTGCCCCCCCCCCGCCCGCTCCAGTGGTGGAGCTTATTGTTCTATTTTCCTCTTAAAGCACGTCACCCCCATGAAGAAGGTGGAGCCCTTGGCAGTTTCATCCAGGAAGGTTGAACTGCCTTCGGTGTCACCCGCACGGAAAGCAGAAGCTCCTGCTGTTGAAGATGACGAAGATGATGACATTGACCTGTTTGGTAGCGATGAGGAGGAAGACCAAGAAGCGGCCCGAATCCGGGAAGAGCGATTAAAGCAATATGCAGAGAAGAAGTCCAAGAAGCCTGGCTTGATTGCCAAATCCTCTATCCTTTTGGATGTTAAGCCTGTAAGTTCTCTTGCTGCCCATTCTGGAGTTCGAATGGTACTTTGGGTGTCTTTTGCATCTGTATCAGTGCATACAGAATGAAGTGATGGTTGTATAGCTGTGTTCGCAGAGGGCTCATCCACACCTTGCAGAATTTTCTAAAATTGCTAGACAGTAGTTTAGGCAGTTGGTAAACAACCATTTCTTCATGTGACTAGTTTGTTTTTTATCATCCATCTCTGAAAAGTCTTCCATTGTGTCAAGCAGCCTCCTTTTACCGGGTCCCCTTTGGCTTTCTCCTTCTTTCTCCTGTTGCTAACCTTTTCATTACTTCTTGCACTTTTTCTCAGTGGGATGATGAAACAGATATGGCCAAGATGGCAGAATATGTCCGATCCGTTCAGATGGATGGTCTGGTCTGGGGAGCCTCCAAACTGGTCCCAGTGGGTTATGGCATCAAGAAATTGCAGATCCAGTGTGTGGTGGAGGATGACAAGGTTGGGACAGACATACTAGAAGAAGAAATCACCAAATTCGAAGATTATGTAAGTTTCCTAGGATATGTGGGCATATAATTATGCTCTTTGGGACCTATCCAAGGGGTGAAAGACTTCAGTGAGATCATAATGACATTACTGGGTGTGAAGGGAAAGACCAGAAGCTTCGGGTCTTTCTAGTAGAGCCGACTCTCTTAAAGACCTCCAAAATGACCCAGTCTAGCCCTCCTGCCTCCCCTGGTAGTAAGAAAGATCAAGGCGCCGTCGCACAGGAGTCAGGAGAAGCACCACCAGAAGGGAAGGTGTCATGTGCAGTGGATACCAGTGACTTGGAGGAAGCACTCAAGGGGTTAATGGCACCCGGGCCTTATAAGGAAGAACTGGAGGGAAGAAAGGAGGAGGGGTTAAACAGGGAAGAAGGAGGGCTGGGGTATATAACGGTGAGGCGGGATGATATCCCCGGTGGTTGGGAGATGGTTTGGATAGAGGATCCGTGGACCAAGCGTTGGGAGCAGGTGCGTGTGCCTCGAGAGGAGGCTGAAAGGAGGCGTAAGAAGGGCTTGATGCAGAAACCCTCTTACTGGGGAGAGACTGAGGCTAAGCTCTGGCGTAGGAAACTGGCCGAGGCGAAGGAGGCAAGTGAAAGGGAGAGGGTGGCCAGACAGGCATGGCATATCGAAGAGCTGAAGAAGATGGGCTGTTACCTGGTCCCTGGAGTGCCTCGCCAAGAGAAGGAGACTTGTTGTGGGGTTGGATGGGAGACGAAGAAACCCTCCCATTGTTGAGTCCGTTTGACCAAGAAGTAAAAGACAAGTTGTTGGGGGAGGTCCCTGTTGGACCTTGGGACTCTGAACCAGTTAAAACTGTTGGGGAAACTACATGGATACCCTTGCCCGACACTGTTGCAGGGCAAGAGACAAACCAAAGGCACCAGTTAAAAACGACGTTCCGTTTGTTCCGTTTAATAAAGAAAAGTTAACAGCAGAGAAAGCAGTTTCGACTCCTTCTTGGGAAGAGCGGGAAGCCCCGAACAGCGAACCCTCACACTGGGTCAGAATAAAAGAGGAAGGGGTGGGATTTCTTATGGTTCCCACGTCTTTCCTGGTAACCTTTTTCATGGTTTTCTGAAAGGGAGGCTCCCTCTACTTCGTATGGTGACATTCAGCAGTGCCTTGAATGATGCTGCCAGGAATAAAAATCCCAATAATCCACTTAACACTGCAGCTGGTTAGACTTTCAGCAATGAACTAGTTTAAGATAATATAGGGTATTGGGAAAGGGACACATGAAAGCCTCTTTATGTGCCAAAAACAATCAGTTGAGCCCTCCTTGTTTGCATGAGACTGGCTATAATGAACTATACTCAGCAGTATGTTGCACTAAATATTTTATTCAGACCAGAATAATGTTTTTCTGTACAGAATGGCTGAAATCCTCTTCATCTACCGGTGCATAACTCAATGTTTCCGCAAGCAATAGCTGTAATAGCACCAAGGCGGGCACACTAGTCACGAAGTATTTTTTTTATTTTATTTTATTTATATCCCGCCTATCTAATCAATTAAGATTACTCTAGGCGGCTTACAACAATAAACAGTTGCATTGCACAATTGCACAACCTGTTACAGTGGGAACTGTGAGCAGTTGTACAATCATTGTTATCAGGGTTTGAAGCCCAACAAAGTTAACGCATCTGTAACTACGTGGCAACAGACAGGATTCTGGCCCGAGCATCACAGAAGGTTGTGTGAATTTGTCCAGTTATGTGAGCCTCCAGTTACGTGAGCCTCTGTGAAGTCAGGAATTCGAGCATTCACACAGGTTGTGTGAATTTGTCCAGTTACGTGAGCCTCTGAAATAAGTGGACTGCATATGAAATGGTTGCAGTTCCTAAACATTTCATGTGATATTTTTGCTTAACCCCTTTAATTAAAAATGGAAGTCTGCACTTCAGTGGCATCTTGGTTGTTACATTTCAAATCCATTGTGGTGGCATACCGAGCCAGAATTATGAAAATAGTCAGTGTCCAGTTATTTCCGGACCGAACTGAAAGAACACAAGTAACACGTACAGGATCTCATGACTGAAAACAACATTTTCACTGTGCTTTCCTCCCTTATGTCTTTCAGGTGCAGAGTGTCGACATAGCTGCATTCAATAAGATCTGACAGCAAACATTTACCCTTTCTAGAATTAATAAAAAGTCAAGAGTTGGAATGTAGTGCTGTATGAGGATGTCTTGCTTCACTGTTATGCTGGCTTTTTTTGTCTTTAGATTTAGTGCTGGTCATAGCAGATATCGCCTCTCCCTGTACAAGGAAATTGCCAATTTTGCCCGCAGGGCCTGTCTCCACTTGTGCTTGGTTGAACTAAATGCTGCCTACCTGGAGACGGTGCAACTGGTACTTGTGCAAACCCAGGCCATCACAGAGGGCCTTGTAGTGTCAGGTTTTCGTCTGCCCTGTCTCCCTTCCCCACACCTGGTCATGGGCACGCCACTTCAGAGTTGCTGATCACTTCTGTATGGTTTGCTTTCTGTTGTGACACCAAGTACGGCTCATCCTGCTTTAGCATCTTTATATTGCTAAAGGTTTTCTTTAGGATTCCTCAAACCAGGGCATGACAAATGCTGTAAGCTGCCCAGAGACCTTTGGGTAGTGTGGGCGGCATATAAATTAAATAAATAAATAAATAAGGTCCAGGGACCACACACAACAGTCTTGACTTTAGAGGATATTCTCCCGCAATCGCACTCTAAAAATCTTCCCAGAAAAAAGGAACTTTTAAGTCGAACGTTCCCCTTCTGCCCTCTTGTGGTCAACACAATTCTTTTTTAAAACATCATCCTCACCTTAGAAGTCTAGAGCTGGAAGGGACTGTACAGTGGGGTCTTGACTTGAGAACTTAATCCGTATTGGAAGGCGGTTCTCAAGTCAAAAAGTCAAGTCTCCATTGAGCTACAGTGCATTGAAAACCAATTAATCCCATAACAGGCCGTTTTTGTTCCATTTTGGTTTTTTTCTGGTCTGTAAGTCAAATCTCAGTCTGCAAGACAAACCTAAATTTTGCGGCCAGAGAAGTCTGTAACTCAAAAAGTCTGTAAGTCAAGGGTCCACTGTATTGATGATCAAGTCCAGCCCCTGTAAAGGAGGCACCACGTGGGAATCGAACTCCCAACCTCTGGCTCTGCAGGTAAAGGTTCCCCTTGACAATTTTTGTCCAGTCGTGTCGGACTCTAGGGGGCGGTGCTCATCCCCGTTTCCAAGCCATAGAGCCAGCGTTTTGTCCGAAGACAATCTTCCGTGGTCACATGGCCAGTGCGACTTAGACACGGAATGCTGTTACCTTCCCACCGAGGTGTTCCCTATTGATCTACTCGCATTTGCATGCTTTCGAACCACTAGGTTGGCGGGAGCTGGGACAGGCGACAGGCGCTCACTCCGTCGCGTGGATTCGATCTTACTACTGCTTGGTCTTCTGACCCTGCAGCACAGGCTTCTGCGGTTTAGCCCGCAGCGCCACCATGTCCCAGCCAGAGATCTAAACCACTGAGCTATCAAGCAGTTGTGTTTTTAAAGAACATTTAGGGCCCTAAAGAGGCCTGAGACCCACAAACTATAACAGAATTGCCCATGCATGTTCCTGGGCACAAGGCTTTTTTGAGCCAAAACATTTGAAACACTGGGTGGGTTAGTTGCGTTGGAGGATTTGTTTCGCACACACCCTGCTTTAAAGTCTGGAACTAAATACTGCTTTGGAAAAATAATCTCATTAAAGGAGGTCTGTTGTCACGGCGCAATGAGAAGATACGTGTGTTGTGGGCTGTGCTCCGTGTCCCATCTTTGATGCTAATGTGTTGAAGCATCTTATTGGGCCAGGGGAGAGAAGCCTCGCTGATGGAAGGTCACAGCCCACAGATCTTCTTATCCAGAACATTGGTGTGATATCACATAGGTGGTGTGTTGTGTTTTCTGAGAGAGATCCCAAAGGAATAAAGTGCTGATGTCTGGGAATCAAGCAAGAAGCTGGCATCTGTTTGTGTTCCACCAACAAATTCTTTCCAGATTGTTATTGGGGAAAATGCTAAATCATTTTTATTCTTAAGATACCGGACGGGTGCTTGATATAATGAGGGTCATCTAACACACCTGCTGTACTTTCAGTGTCTCTGTGTCAGATCGTTTGCATGCTCTTCATTTGGAAATTGCCTTCCTAAAAATATTGTGCTAAGGGAAAGGTTTTAGTGCTAAGGCCTAGAGTTATAGAGTGTGGAACCCAAGAGAAGAGCAATTATTGTGTGAAAGTTGAAGGTTATTTTATCTCCTTAATGAGGGCTGAGCCAACGTCCTTGTGGTTGGGTATGATTTCGCACTTTGGCCAACATCCCTGGGCAGCAGTGCTGAAAATGGGGTTCTAAAGCAAATACGGCCCTACTTCATTCCTTCATTTGTTAATTTGATAATTAAAGCCTAATAATATGAAGCTGGGGAAAGATGACAGCAGGAAAAAGAGGAAGCTTACATTATTCACTAAAAAGGAAATGAAATTATTTGAAAGATAAATTTCATGAGGTTCAGACCATAATACAAGGTTTGGAGCTTACTTAAATCTCCTTGCTTATAGTAGCACATTAATTAAGAAAAGTTTAAAGAAAGGGGGAAGCTAGTGTTCATGAAAGAAAAGCATTTCAAAAGATGGCGTTGCCTTCCAGAACTTGCAGAAATTGTGTTTTTTAAACAATTTTTTTAACACTTCCTTTTTCAGCTGGTATGGAGACATTTCTTACCAATTTTCACTGCCAGATCTTTTCAAGCTGTACTTTGTTTTTTTTAAAAAAATGATTTCCTTGGGAGTGCTTGGCAAGGACTGCAAAAAAATAGATGGTGGTGGGAGATCAGGAGCAGTGAGCAGGTCACACTCTGGCTACCTGGTTCAAATGTTTGCCCTCCCCAGTGAGCCCAGAGTTTGGGGCTAAATGGTGAAATGCAGGAGAGAGGTGCCTTTGGGTGGTTCGGTCGCCGTCGCCTTCTGTCGTAACACAGGTACACAGTTCTCTCTACTGTGCTCTTCGAAGCCCTGTTTTGAAAGTTCACTTGAGGCTCCCGCTGTCTTGTTGCCTCGGAATTTCAACGTTCCCAAGTAGAGCACCCAGGTCTGCATAGAACCTGATCCGTGTCCCTCCTTTTCACACGTGGTCTCAGTCCTGGACAGAGCAGACTGCAGGTGGAGCAGCTGTACCCCGGGATGGCAAGCCTCTTGGACCATTCCACTCCTTCCCCTCCTCCTCTTCCCTAGCTTTGTGTTGGACTCTCCCATCCGCCCCTCTGGGCTGCTCCAACCTGCCAAAACACGGGGGGGGATGGCGGAGGAAATAATTTTAGGGGTTAGCAGTCTGGGTCACCGCCGGGGCAACTCCAGGATTATTTTTGTTCCCTCCAGGCGGAGGAGAAGAGCCACGCGGGGTGGCAGAGAGACAGACTTCTTCTTTTCCAACGGGATCTCAAACGCCCACCCCTCCGCTCCGCTCGATGCGCTCTCCCATGCTGAGACGCCCCTGGTCAGGCGATTCCATTGTTAAGATTCCCCCGGGGGGGACACAGAGAGAAAGGAGATTAAACGGATGGCCTTCATTCCCGCCAGGGAAAACGTATACAGTACTGTACTTATCAAACGGCACAAAGAGGCCACCTGCCTCTCCCTAGACGCCCTGTGCCGCTCTCCTCTGGTTCCACACAGTCTCCTGTCCCACCCCGTTTTGACGCGGAATTGGTATCTCCCGAGCGCTCCGGCCTGCGCTGGCCTTTCTCGGGTAAGTGCGTAGGGAGAGGGAGAAGGCGCTACGCTCTTTGCGTAACGTTGGGCGGGAGGGAAAAGCGGAGGAAGAAAAGGGGGCGCCAACATGGCGTCTCCCTGGAAACGCCTCTCCCTGACGGGGCGCCGTGGGCGTGTGTGTGTGTGTGTGTGAGGCGGCACCTGTGGGCTCTCCTACCTGCCGTAATTCCCCCAGGTGGGAAGTGGGGGCGGCGAAGGAGGCCGAGGAAGATCTAAAATCAGACCCCGAGAGGTCGGTCGGTGGGGCTCAAAGGGAAAAAGGCGCTGGCTCAGGAGCACCCCATGAGGACGAGAGCAATTTCATGAGGACTAGAATCAGTGGGGTCCCAAGACCCAACACCTTGGGTCGCTTCACCACCACCACCCCCCAGCACTTTTGGGTGACAGACCAGTCGCCAAGACCGGGCCAGTTGACCAAGAAGATCTTAGGCAACGTTAAAAGACAACACTGAAATGCTAAAAACAGCATGCATACAATTGATCACAAAGATCAATCAAATAGGCCATATTAAAAAGCACAGGCAACACCAAAGCACATTCAGAATCCTAAGGTGCAACAATTCATTAAAAAAAAAAAACCACTCACTTAGGCAGCCCTTCACCTAGGAAAGTCCTAAATAACCTAAGGTAGCACACAAAACATCCTGAAGCTGAGGCTCCAATCCTTTGGCCATCTCATGAGAAGAGAAGACTCCATGGAAAAGCCCCCGATGCTGGGAAAGTGTGAAGGCAAAAGGAGAAGGGGACGACAGAGGACGAGATGGTTGGACAGGGTCACCGAAGTGAGCAACATGACTTTGACCCAACTCCACTGGGAGGCTGTAGAAGGCAGGAGGGCCTGGCGTGCTCTGGTCCATGGGGTCACGAAGGAGGCAGACAAACGACTAAACAAGCACAGGAGAGAGAAAAAACAAGGAAAAAGCCTGTGTGCCCCCCAAAGGGGTAAGAGTGGGTGGTCCCTTTCACTGAACCACTAAAAATCAAATTGCAAGTTCTTGTGGAGAAGACCCCACTTTTTCGGGTTTAGCACTATCTTTTTGTAGATGTGGAAAAATTGGAGACAAGAGTCCAAAAATCTGTGGCACATTTGTGTGAGAGAGGGGATGCCAGTCCTCTGGGATCTCAAGCCTCTTGGCATCCTGGTTGGGAATTTTTACACCCCGCTCTTAGGGGTTAGTCTTTAAGGTTTGGTTTGGTTGTGTTGGTTTTACAGTATAGACTAACACAGGTACTTCTGCAAAAACTACACCACTCAGAGAGGTCTGGGGCAAAGTGGTGGTAGTCATGGTTCCTGCCGTGTAGCGACCTTTCCTTGCCCTTCCTGAAATGCACTTGGATGGGTAGTTCCCAGCCTTGGGAGACCCAGGTATTCTTGGACTGCAACTCCCAGAAGCCTTCACCACGAGCTGTGATACCTGGGCTCGCAAGTTGCTTCTGATTTAAGTACTGTATAGGAAAAATGAAAGCCAAAGGCGGCGGGCACTTCATGACTATCAATTTATAGACCAGAGTGAGTTGCCATGGGCTGCAATCTCCATTCTCAGCCCCCGTGGAGCATAATACCCCAAAAAATGTAAGTGAGTGATACTTATATCAGACCATTAAAATCTCACAAACAAGAAGCCAGCTTTTGAGTTCTGCACTTTCCTTCATCAGGCTGATCAATATAGAGCTGTGCGTGCATGCACCTTGTTGGTTTTCTTGAGCTGCTTTGTTATCTTTTCATCACTTTCATTCTTTCTCGATAGGAATATATGTCCTGTCTTGTGTTTTTTTATCTACAGATATTTATACTCTTAAGGGCTATTTACACTTGTTTTCCAACAGTAGGGATCTCTGGGTGAGCAACAACAATTTAAAAGCCCATTTACTTTGCTCCTTTTAATTTCCCTGGGTTTGAAACTTAACTCTGATCATATATTTCTTTTGACTAGCCCTACTACTACAGGAAATCCTAAAGTTGAGGTTACTAATTTTCTTTTCTGAAGCCAGGAAAAAATTAAAGTTCAAATTTTTACATTTTCTAAAAGTAATATTTTTATATTTTCTAAAAGATGGCATTGTAAGACTATAATTTTTTCATTTACAAATACCATGCATTGCTTCATTTATCTTTTTGTTTACAATAATCTTGTCTATGTTTACAAAGCCTAACCACAAAAGCAATCATTCATAAGCATTCAGTTGCCGCAACTGTTTATGAATTTACTGATCTTGCTGTGCTGAAGTTGGTTCATTTTTTTAAAACTACAGATTACAGTATTTTGAAAACAACAAAGTTGGAACTGCATTTTAGAATACCAATTTAGAATACACATTTTTCCTACACTCCCCAACTCCCAGCCACATTAACACTCTTAAATGTACAAAATATCAAACCTTGAAGACTTCTCATGTTGTTATCCTGTCATGAACATATTTGTCTGTAAAGAAATCTGATCTGTCTTTTCTGTGTGGTTCTTTAGTGTATTGTTTCCATTATATCTATTATATTTTTTATTTTATCTGGTTTGGATAATGTATTCATGATTTATTTAGCACACCTAATCGTTGTATCTAAGTGATTGATTAGATTCTGTGGTGTTTACAGGACATTCTCTGGTCATATAGACCAGTGGTTCTTAACCTTTTTGAAAGAAACGCCCCCTTGAGCCATTGAGGAAGTTATCATCGCCCCCCTCCCCGCGGCTATGATATCATATTTATTTATTTATTAAAGACGCTTAAATTCAATGACTGAATTCAATTCCTTAAATTCAGGGAGAAAGAGGAGCAGCTGACTTTCTGCAGTGCATTTGCGATCCCACCCAAAGAGATGCTGCGCCACCCCAAAACGTCCCATTTCTCTCCGCACTTCCCTTGCAACGGGCGGGAAGGTGGGTGGGAAGGCAGGACAGACAAATGGGGCTTGTCTCTCCCTCCCCACCTGGGTGCGAGGCAGAGCTTCACTGGGCGAGGACGGGGACCCAAGAGACCCTTTCCTTCCACCCGATCCGCATTCAGTGCTCCCCTAAGGGAGAATGGCGAGATGTGGCAGGCAGAAAGAGTGGGATCATCTGGCAGTGGCAGCACCGGATCCACTGCCAGCACCCTGGCTGCAGCCACCTTCACAGGTTTAGCTCGCTCCAGCGCCCCCCTACTGCTCCCCTTCTGCTCCATCGCCCCCATGCCGCCCCTTTTCGTTCTACCGCCCCCCCCTGAAAAATGAAAACGCCCCCTGGGGGGCATTATCGCCCACGTTAAGAACCACTGATATAGACTATGGTGCTCTTAATAAAAGCTGGACAATGAAGAAGGGAGACAAGAAAAATGATTTATATGAAATGTGGTGTTGAAGGAGAGCGTTGGGATACCATGGACCACCAAAAAGACAAATGGGTTCTATGTTGTATCAAGTATGAATTCTCACTATTAACTAAAATTAGTACATTGACGATATTGTACTTTGGACATATCATGAGAAGACAAGTTTCACTGGAGATGTTGGGGAAGTTTTAAGCCAGGAATAGAAGAGGAAGATGTAACATGAAAAAGGTTTACTTAATAAGGGAAGCCATGACTTTTCACTTACAAGAACAGAGCTGGCCTGTTCAAAACAGGGTTGTACTAAATTGGAAGCGGCAGTGTCACATGAATCACACAATCTGGCTTTAAATTTCCTCTTGATTTTTTAGATTTTAGGAAGTAAATTTTATTTTTATGCTCTTTGATTTCTTTACAGTGATTCCTGCAGTCATAATATGCAAAGCACTGAAAAGTTGTGTTTAGAATTGTGATACTGTTTTCTGTCATCTTTTACTGTAAGGCAACAGCAGCAATATTTTCACAAACTCTTTGTACTTTACAGAAGACAACATTTATCAAATATTTCAAGCCTTTGAAGTCCTGGGATGAAGCAATCAAAAACTAAGCATCAAGTAGTTGTGCTGGAAGATGAGACCCCCAGGGCAGAAGGCACTCGGTCAGCTAGAGGAAGAAAGCAGAAGAAAAGTACAAAGAGCACTCTTCTGAAAAAGGTGGCAGAACTAGAGCTCAATGGAGATTCAGTTACAAATGTGCAAAGTTGTGAAAGGAAAATCCACAGGCATGTAATTGGAACATGGAATGTGAAAAATATGGATGAAAAGAAGCTTGAAATAATAAAGCAAGAAATGAAACGTATAAATATTGCACTACTTGGTGTAAGTGAACTGAACTGGATTGGAAAAGGATGTTTTCAGTCCGATGATTACGTAGTGTTTTATTCTGGAAATGACAAACTTAGAAGGAACGGTGTGGCTTTCATAGTGAGACAAGACGTAGCCCAGGTAATCAGGAGATATTATCCCAAATCTGATCGAGTAATAGCAGTCAGACTTCAAGGACAGCCTGTCAACGTAACCATTATTCAAGTCCTTGCTCCAGGTCCAAATGCTGCTGCAGAAGAAACAGAAAGTTTTTATGCAAGTATTCAAGAAGAAGTGGATCAGGCGCCCCAACGGGATGTGCTGCTTATCATAGGTGACTGGAAAGCAACCGTTGGGAACAAAGCAGAATCAAATATTGTTGGAGAATTTGGCCTAGGAATTAGTAATGAAGCAGGAAAAAGACTCATAGAGTTTTGTGGTGCCAACGATTTGTTCATTGCAAATACATGCTTCAGGCAACCCAGCCGACGATTGTATACGTGGGCTTCACCAAAGGGGCAATTCAGACATCAAATAGACTATATAATTGGGAGGAGAAGATGGAGGAGCTCTATTCTCTCTGCAAAAACAAAACCAGGAGCAGATTGTGGTACAGACCATAAACTGTTAATAGCAACAATTAGAGTGAAACTGAAGAACTACAAAAGAAACACAGTGAGGCAGTATAATGCTTCCGAAGGATATAAAGACCATGTATCAGACTATGTCAGCCACAAGCGGGAAGAACTATGGACTGAAACCAGAGATGACAAAGATGTGGGGTAAGTAGGAACAATGCAACTTGTGAATTGTTAGGCTTTTACTCCAGCTTATTTTCATTCATTCTTCCATTCATCTATTTGTATTTCAATCTGACTTTCCTTCCAGTGAGGGGATTCAAGGTAGCATACAAAATATTAAAAAGACATATGCAGGGAAAACTGTAATACATTTTGCTAATAGAAAAGCAATCAGTGGTTGAAATCCTGTTGCCTGAAGTTACACTGCATAAGACTGATGACATCAGTAGCAACGGTTGTCCTCACTGAAGGTGGGGAAGATCCACTGGGATATCTTTTGTCTTGGGGATACCGTAAATAGTAGCAAGAAATGGGGCGGGGGGACTTTTTAATTTCAAAAATGTGCCTACCACCTCAATGATTTTACTGGCCATCAGAATTTTTTGAAATCAAAGACTATCCTGAACCCCAAAGTTTCTTTGTGATGAGAAGGATCTCAAGGGAGCCGCAGGGCCTTTGGCAGGGGGCAGCCATCTCAAATTTTTAGTTCTCAAAATTTGCTGCTGCAAAATGATGACATCATAAACCTTACACGGAGTAACTTGTGGAACAGGATTTCAGCCAGTATGTATTGAAACAACTGGATTTAAAAATACCGACACACCTTTCCATAAGACACACCAATTTTTTAGGAGAAGAAAGCAGGAAAATATAATCTGTTTTCTTCGCTCCATAAGACACACAGACTTTCCCCCCCCCCTGTTTTGTAGGGGAAAGGTGCGTCTTATGGTGCGAAAAATACGGTATATACTGTATATTTAACAGGCGTGATAGAAGTAAAACAAAAAAAAGGGGGGTAAGCGTTCTCATTGAAAAGCCTCTTCCTCCGCAGCCAGACAGTTGCAAGTATTTTCTGTTCTTTCCATCCCTGGCAGTGTTTTGAGATTGGCTACAGCTTATTTATTTTATTTTTTAATTTTATTTATATCCCGCCTATCTGGTCTTACAACCAATCTAGGTGGCTTCCAAACACATAAAAACAACATATAAATATAACAAAGAAGAAAAAGAAATTATTACATCAATAAACAAGTTCTTCAAGATGGATTAAGAGAATGGGTCTTGGTTAAACCTGCTGGTTCAACCTGTCTCCTGAGCCGTGAACTTGACCAAGTTGTTATTCCTTAAGGTGCTACAAAACTGCTTTGCTTTGGGGTATGGACCTTTTGTATCAGTGGCCATTTTAAAGCCTCCCTATTGTTTATGTGCTGTGTGATAAAAGGAGAGAAGTGAGGGGCCGTGTGAGCTTCCTTGGAAGAACAGTGGGATATTAATCTTACGTTTGTAAACCTTTTTGCATCCCTTCAGAAACACTGGTAATGTGAGAATGGGTGAGTGGCCTTGGTAACGGTCGGGATTTGAGCCTGTTTCCACCCCTTTACATGGATTAGTGAACGTTGTCTCCTGAACTGGCCTTTCCAACAGGTTTTGAAGAACTGGTCGCTGAATCCTTTTAGAAAAATCTGCTAATCCTGGCATTTTGTGTCTGGTGACGTACCTGATGCTTTTGGCACTGGGTGATCAGATATGTCATGCTTTTGGACAGTTCTGTTTCTGTGTTCAGTAGAGAGCCTCGTGGCGCAGTGGTTAAACTGCCATACTGCAGCCAAGACTCTGCTCATGACTTGGGTTCAGTCCCAGGTAGCTGGCTTGATCTTCACTCAGCCTTGCATCCTTCTGAGGTTGGTAAACTGAGTACCCAGGTGGGGACAGACAATGTGTATCTTGCATAATTAACTTGTCAATCACCCAGAGAGTGCTTTAAGCACTATAGGGTTGTATATAAGGAGCATGCTTTGCTTGCTTTCGTAGTCATAAGAATATAGAAAGAGCCATGTTGCTTCCCAACAAAGGCCCCTCACGTTTCCCATTCCATTTGCATAAAAGACAACCAGTTGCCTACTGGAAATAGCTAGCAGGATAGGAGTACAACTGCACCCTTCTTTATACCTTACGCAGCATCTTTCGACCAGGCATATCACCTCTGATCGTAAATGTAAATACATAGGCATCCTTAAAGCAGCAGCTACTCTGAGATGGTTCATTCTGAAGGAACTGTGTAACCAGGCTGTATATTCTCTTCTGTTCCAAAGAAATGTACCCATACAAAAGCTGTATTAGGATTTATTGATATGATAACACTTTTCAAATACATGAAAGGCTGTCATACAGAGGAGGGACAGGATCTGTTCTCGATCATCTCAGAGTGCAGGACACACAACCATGGGCTCAAGTTAGAGGAAGCCAGATTTGGGTTGACTATCAGGAAAAACTTCCTGACTGTTAGAGCAGTTATTGTGTAGGTGCCAAACACCATTTTTTAGAGCCCTGTAGGAAAAGAGAAAGAGAAAGCCTCCCACAAGCCATGTTTCTAGATGTTGAAGCCATTCTGTCTTCTTTGGAGTAAGTTGCCAAATGGAGAGAGCTACCTTCTGGAATCAACTTCAGAAATCACGTTTTCACCGCATGGCATGTGGCTTTCATTTTCTTTCCAGATCTCCATTTCTTCTACCAGATTTCACCTTATGGTGTAACCTCTTGGTGGTGTTGGTGGTTTTGTTTCGTTTGTTTGATGTTCGGTCTGCTTCAGTCTTTTTTTCATATCCTTGTCTCTCTCCAAACTCAGTTCTTTCTTTGAATCAAAAGTACCTGCTGCTTTACTTCATAGGAGACTCTGCTTTCCTCCTAGAATGATCCCTCAGTATTCAAAATTGCCCAAGATCGCCTTACCCCTGATCTTAATTCACATCTCTTGTGGCATTTTTTGTGTGCAAATTAAGTGATTCATTTCTTTTTAAATATACAATACTTTGAAACTAGCAATCTAGTGCTGTGGTACACACAGGGCATTACTGGTATGACATCGTGGAAATGTGCAGTTTGGGTATTTGTGCATTCATAGTGTACCCTGGACTTGGAGAAGAAGATTAAATTTATGTGCGAGGAAAGCCAAGAGGTTGCTTTTGTGGTGTCTCTACAATTTGGCGTAGAAGTGAATTAGGACCTGACTCATACAGCTTCAGTAGCTTTCAGTACTTTGCTATGGATCTGGGACACAGAAATTTTCGGTGAGGTTAAAGTACAGTTTTCCAAATTTGTGAAAGGAGAGTTCCGTTTCAAGTTGGCAAGTGGGGAAACGTTATAAAAACACTTGCAAGGAAACATGAAGTTCTCTTAAAAAATCATTGATTTCTGTGTGTCTGGTTTTATGTGTAATAATTATCTATTAATAAAATCTTAGTGATGGTTCAGTAATTTAATGCTGCACCATGTATGCATGTTTTAAAATATAGATTGGAGAAGTTCTACCTTTATTAGCAACGTATAAATAAATACTGGTCAAACCTTTTCCTCTGGGATAGTAAGAGAAGGCAGGCAAATTTTTAGTGGATGTGGAAAGAGTGTTGTCTGAACATGGATCAGGTTCATGTGCTTACATATTCCTGGAAATTTATTTAGATACTCCCTCATTACAGAAACATGGCAGCCCGTTTCCTCATGCACGAGAAAATCTGGTTTGACAAATTCACATATGATGCTGCTGAGAAGAGATACTATGAACAGATGAGTGGTTCCCTTGACAGCCGTTCTGGCCAGCAGGTAAGGCAACAGCACCTGGTAAACACACGACGACAGAGCGGATGAACAACAAAGTTCCCTTTTCCCCCCAAACTAAACTTCTATTATGATACTTGTAATTTAAAATGTATCTAATTTTGAATTTAAAATGTATCTAATTTTAAATTTGATACCTAATTTCAGGTATTTAATTATGGAACAGAGATTACAAATCCTAATTCTGTATTATAAAATGGTGGGGAAAACCTTGTTCTTGCAGATGTAATATAAAGTTATGGTCTGTGTACGCATGCTGGGCATTAATGCCTGGCACCAAGGAATTTGTGTAACATAAATTTCTTCTTCGTGGTCTCTATGAATGCACACGAATGGGTTAAACTGCGCCTGCGCAGGACTTGGAATATTCTAGAGCTTAAAACAATTGACTAATAAAATGTTTTCCTGTGCCACCGCTGAGATCGGACTCCTTCGGGACATCTAGAGCTGTTTTGAATTCTTCTCATATGTTACGGGGTTTTTTTTATTCTGGTCTGATTTACTGACTACCGTTTGTGATTTCTGGAGTACTTTGACCTTTGGACGGGCTTGGTATATGATTATGATTGTTGGATTCTGGATTGGCTACCATTTGTGATTGAGGCATCTGTTATCTGATGAATGCCAGCCGTTCGCTTGACCTCACTCTCTTTCGTACTGTCTGTTACAGAGTGCCAGCAGCCCTTCTTCTGCTGGGGACCAAAGCAAGCTGGTCACTAGCCTAGTGGCAGAGCATCGAGACCTGCATAGAGGTGAGTGGGGCAATACACCTAGTAATGGGCAGTGTCTGTGCTGGCAGGTCCTTTCTGTTTTCCTGTAAAATCAGTCTGCCTGCTTTATTTGTGGTCTGACTGCTGTCTGGAAGGGGATGGTCCTGCAGCTTTTGCTGATGCAATGACTAGAAGGAAGAGAAGAACAGTGCTCCATGTTCTCTTCTTTCAACACTAGTCCATAATAGTGCTTTCCTCCTCCTCCTTTCTCTGTAGCATCTCCAGAGGTTTCCACACTGGAAGGCCACCCATGTGTGCTAGAAAAAGGATCTACTTAGCATCACCCTTTGCCACTTCCACGAACACAGGTAAAACTATTCCTAGAGGAATATTCCACTGCGGTGTATTTGATTCATTGGCAGGTAGACTGAGGATCTTGTTTGGCATCCCACCCCACTTATGTCTTCTGTGCAGAGTCTTCTGTAGCTCCATTTCCTTCATTTTCCAAGTTGGGGCCTCTACAGGACATTTTGACTGATAAATACATAGTCCCAATTACAAACAGATAATGAGTTCTTTAATTAAAGCCTGTGTAGCCAGGTTACTTGCTTCCAGTTTAAGAGCTTCCTTCATCAACCAGGGTTTTCCCCCTTAGGGCGTATAAAGCTTCAACAGTTGTATCAATTTCACTTAAAATGCTTTTCCATTTGGGTCATAAGGGTTGTAGAATGATGCCTGGATGATGCTGTTTACCTTGTGATACACAGAAGACCTGTGAAACAAGCATTCCTGTTCCCCATGCGAGGAGGACTGATTCTTCATGAAACTACTTACGAGGCAGAAGTGACTTGATGTAGATAACGACACCAACAGCACATACATTAATTGTTATAAATTTTTCTTGAACTTGTTATCCTTTATGTTGTAAGCCGCCTAGAGTGGTCGAAATGACTAGATAGGCAGGGTATAAATACAATAGATAGATAGATAGATAGATAGATAGATAGATAGATAGATAGATAGATAGATAGATAGATAGATAGATAGATAGATAGATAGATAGATAGATACTCCTGACTGAAAAACATTTTTTCATTGTGTTTTTCCTCCCTTATGTCTTTCAGGTGCAGAGTATTGACATAACTGCTTTCAATTAAAATATATATATATTTTTAACCTTTCTAAAATTAATAAAAGATCAAGAGATGCAGTCCAGTGATGTGTGAGGGTGTTTACGGCACGGTTACACTAAATTGCTTGACTGCTGGAATCAGAGAGCAGAAGGAGGCAAGCTGGTTTCCTCCCCGCCACTTCCTAAGCAGGGATTGTGAATGAATTTGAGATAAGCGGAACGTTGGTGAATTTATAATGCTGGAATTGTCAATCTTATCTAAAACACCATGTGAGCATTGTCAGAGATGTAAATCCAGTTCAGAAAAAAATAAATAAATAAACTCGGAGAGATGCTATTTCAGATTCGGTGGCCAGAGGAACTGATAGGGAAAGGAGCCCAAGATGGTTTGGATTTCCTGAATGAGTTATCAGAATCATTTGTAATCATCACATCTTTAACAAATGACCCCAAAAGCCAGCGAGGCTGTATAAAGAGCTTAGTGAGGAACTGAAACCGAAAAAAAGGTACATAGAAGCAAAATCAGGGAGCTGGACAGGGGACAGATTGTATTTGTCTTCAGTGTGGAAGAGATTGTCACTCTTGAATTGGCCTCTTCAGCCACACTAGACGCTGTTCCAAGTCCTCCATACAGAGCATGTTACCATAGTCTCTCAAGACCTAATCTAATCTAATCTGCACAGACAATAGGTATACCTAATTCCGTTGGGTCCTACTATATCATTTAAAGCCAGCGGACTGTTCTTTTGGTCCTGTGGAGCTATTTTGCCACTGAACGCTGCAAACAGAGTAAACTTGGTATAGAAATTTTAAATCAAGTAACAAAAGTAGCAATGATACAAACTAAGCCCAAATTGGATGCTACAAATCAAATGTTACACACAAAGGACCACAGCAAGGGTCACCTGCAGAACGGAGTGTTCCCCCTCCCCGAGTCTGTCTGATCTGAACCTGTTAGGAGCCAACTCTCAAAACACTCGGTCTTTCAAAGTGACCCCTTTGTGCAAGGATCCAAGGCTCAAAAAAGGCAGTTCTGGAGATAAAATCTTCAAGGCCGTAAAATAATTGATCAGAGAACTGCGCCTAAATGAAACAAAATTAATTTCAATAGGGAAAAAATGTCAGATTTGGGCAGCAAAATACAAATATACAGATATAATATTGGTGACAGCTGGCTTAGCAGTAGTGCACAAAGAAGGATTTCCGGCTCTTCAGTGGACCATGACTTGAACTAGCAATCTGAAAACAAGGATGAGTAATAACCTTTATTAGGGCACAACAATAGATAAAGCAAAAGCTTGGTTTTCTTGTTGTTGTTGTTATTTTAGAATGTTACAGCAGAATGGGCTTTAGTGGGTTGGGGACAGTACAGGAGAAGCAAAAGCGCTAAAAATGAGCTAAAAATAATGGCTAGATGTGTGGCACAGGCTCCTCTTTTTAAAGCCAATCAACTGTTGATGCAGCATTGGCAAAAAAAAGGGCAAAAGCAGTACTTGGTTCCATCAACCCAAGTACAGAGCTGAGTTTTTAAGCTGAATTCTATCACAGTTTATGCACCAGTAGTTCCCAACCTTGGTTGATCCAGGTGTTCTTGGACTGCAACTCCCAGAATCCTTCACCACTAGACTAGCTGTGCTAGCTGGGGTTTCTGGGAGTTGCAGTCCAGGAACAGCTGGGTTACCAAGGCTGTGAACCACCGCTGCCCTACCCAAAAAATAAGCCCCAGTTAAGCTAACACCATTGTGCAGCAGCCAGAAGAAGGTGACATGACTGTATACATGAAAAAAATAAAACATCCCCTGAAAATAAGCCCTAATACGTGTTTTAGAGCAAAAATTAATAGAAGACCCTGTCTTATTATTGGGGAAACACAGTGTGTATATATGGAATATATGTATATGGAAGAAGGGACATGCTTGTTTCGTGCAGCTAAGGTGCGTGAAGGAAGGTTTTGCTCAAACATCGGGAAGTTTCTTGTTGCTGAGAATGGAGGGAAACTTCCTCAGAAGGCGGCAGGCTTGCCTTTCTTGGAGGTTTTTAATCAGCAGTTAGAATGGTCACCAAAGCCGTGCTCCCCCCGCTGCTGCTGCTGCTGCTGCGCCCTTCTGGGAGAAGAGCCGGACTGGGGAGGGGGCTTTTGGCCAAGCGGCACCCCTCTCCTCCCCCCCGGGATGTCCCCAGAAGAAGGGAAAGGGGAAAGCCCCTGCCCAGTGCTCTCGACTTAAGAGGACCCTGGAAAGCGCTGCCCGAAGTCAGAATTGACTTGACGGCAGAGGATGATGATTTATTAGGTGCCCACCAGCTTCGGGGCTTTTTTAACGTCGATGGCCTGCTCTGGCCGCAGCGGGTTGGACTTGATGACCTCTGAGCTCCCTTCCAGCTCTGCAGTCCTAGGATTTTTGGGGGAAAAAAATCCCCTGACCACCCAGCCAGGACTGCTTCTCCCTGGGAGTCCCGAGGCCTTTGGCGGAGGCAGGGCGCGATCCGCGTCCCTACGCCAAGCAGCAGTGGACCGAGAGAAGCGCCCGGGGGCGTTTGGGGAGCCTTGGCCGGCCG